TTTAAAATGAGATGTTTATCATGTATTTTATTGTGTTTATCTGCAGTTAGTTACACAAATTCAGATATAGGATGAAATTGGATAGGAATAAAATCGTTTAGGGATGAACGAGTTTAAGAGTTTTTAAGAGTTTTAGCCAAATGTTTTATAAAATAGTATAGATTATATTATTAAACAAAAATAAATAATTTTGTTATTAAATCTAAATTAAATTATAATAAAAAAATTAAATTAAAGAAATTACATGAAAAACGAGAACTTTTAAATACTTAATTTAATTCTAAATCGATACTTTTTTTTTCAAATTTATATTTCATTAAGAAAATAAAAATATTATCGTTTTCTAAAACCACATAAAATCGTATTATATACACAAAGAAAGTGAATAAAATGAAACATTAAAATTAAGATATCTCGCTGCATTGCGCAAGTCTCCTTCTAATATTTTTAAATACGTTTAAAACATTTATTATATAATATTCAATTAATAAAAAAGTAATTTGATTATTTATAATTTGTTTTTTAAATTATGTATAAAGTAAATTACAGATTTCGTCCCTGTGGTTATTGAAAATTTTGGATTAGGTCCCCAGACAAAATAATTACATTTAGTATCATCATGGTTTAATTTATGTTACGGATTGTAGGGGTGTACGTGGGTTGGGTTGGGTTGGGTGGTTTACAACAATTTTACAACCCAACCCAATTATGGCGGTTTGGAAAAATCTCAACCCAACCCAACCTTTGCGGGTTGAGGCGGGTTGGAGTGGGTTGGCAAGTTAGTATTAACATAATTTGACGAATGAAATAATTCATAAAACTTAAGTTTATTGATCATAGTATAAAACGTCCTATCTAAAAAAGTTACAATAGGTTTATAAGACGTTTTTTTGACATTTCAACAAGTGTTTTAGAATGAGTTTTAAATAAAATGTCGTATTAGTTATTTTATAAAAATATTTTGAGAAGTGTCCCGTAAACTCATCTGTTAGCCATTTTTTACAATGTTCACTAAAATAGTTTTAGGTCCGTATTTTTTTAGGACATAGATGAAAACTTGAACTTTTTAGGATCCGTAGCTGGATCCGTAATTATCAATTTCGATCTCTCCACCCACATCACCTCTTCTTCTTTTTTTCTTTGCTCAATCCCATCTCCAGAACCACTCGTAGATCGGAGTACCACCAAACAACATGGATATCGACGACGCCTCAAACACCCAGTCAAACCGTTACACTTGATTTCATCGTTTCCATACACAGTGGCGGATGCATGTAGAAGTGGTTGGGGTCCTCGTCCCCCAACAAAATAATGTCTAGAACGCTCATAAATTTTTAATTTACTTATAATTTTTACCTTTATATGATTGGGCCCCAATAAAATAATCATGAGACTCCATTACCAAGTTCATAATTCATTTAGCCTTCCATTTCCAAGTTCCACCAGTCCATCCCACGAGGCCACGATTTCACCTTCATCCAAGTTCCATGGCTGCTGGCGCCTGGCTGTACATCGCCACTGCTTCTTTCTGGT